TAGAGCATAAGCTTTCGTGGGCTACAAGTGGGGTTGTAGCCCACGAAAGCTTATGCTCTAATAAATTTGTTAGTCTCTAAGGAGCCACAAGTACTCCTGTTCTTTGAGGATACAGACTAACACGGCTACTACTCTGAAACTTCTGGAAAGTTAGCTCTCTGCCTTTTCCCTTGTGAATATTGAGATTCCCTCTGCTTTCAAAGTTTTCAAGTCTTTTTGCTTGTACTCCATTTCTAAGAATCAATTTCTAAATAATTCCTTAGAATTTCAGATTCCTATAACTAGCAAAATAAACATGTTTTAGAATCATGTCAGATATTCTAGGAAGCCACATAGAGTAGAACCTCAGTTACAAACATCTCGGGAATGGAGGCTGTTCGTAACTATGAAATGTTCATAACACTGAACAAAACATTATGGTTCTTCTTTCAAAAGTTTACAACTGAACACTGACTTAATACATCTTTGAAACTTTACTATGCAGAAGAAAGATTCTGCTCCCCCCCCCCTTTTTTTTAAATAGTTTACGTTTAACACAGCACTGTACTATATATTTTTTTGTTTCTTTGTTTTTTATTGGTTCCAAATGAGGTGCGTGGTTGACTGGTCAGTTCGTAACTCTGAGATTCTACTGTATTTCTAAAATAAAATTATTCCATCAGCAGACAACTGAATCATTTTAAGTCTCTGCATGCATAATGGCTCTCTCAGGTCTTTATACAACATTTACAGAAGTATCTAATAGCTGCTGTAATTACTGATAATCATTAATGTCTGATCCTGTGAGCACTTAGGCATGTGAGTAAAGTTACAAAAATATCTGCTTAAGTGTTTGAAGGAATGGGGATTAGATCATTAGAGAGCTTTGGGCTATCTAAAAACAACGTATTTGGTCAGAGCAAAATATTCCACAAGTGGAACATTCAAATTGTTGTGCCTTTCTAAATTCATATTTATTAATTTTGCACTGAAAATAAAATGTGATTTTTCACTTCAGTGTTCTCTCTCAATAAGGTTTATCATTTCTAGATCTCCCTGAAATAAAGAACAGAAGGCGTGTGAATGAAGTGTTTAGTTCATGAAGTGACTTCTCTGCAAAAGATAGTTCAAGAACACAATTGGGTAAACCAAGAACTACAATTTAGAATGCTAAAGTCTGGCTCATTCTCTCACCTAGCAACATGTCCAGAAAACTCTTGTTATGAGCACACTAACTGTAAACTCATATTTAAGAGCACTTTCCAGTTTAATCTGGTCCACAAGCGAAACCTAGCAGGTACTGGCACTGACCTGCAGGAATTAGGATGGACCCCTACCCATTATATGATTTATCCCAATTTGTATCTTAATTGAGAGCCCTCTAAAGCAAGTCTGATTTAATGAAGAAAAAACAAAATGAGGAAAACACAAAATCTGGTAATTCTCTGCCCTTAAGGGTCTTTAAATTAGTGACTGAACTAGAGAGGCAATCATCATAAATGTCACCCCCATGCCAACACCATGAGATTTTACTTACCCTGAGCAATGACATCCTCTATATTTTTTCCCGTTCAGTTCACCAATAACCTAAGGAAATTACAAAGTATTAAAACAAATTGTTTGATAAGCTGTTTTAAGTGTTATTCAGTCAGGTTTCTGTGCAATACCACCTAACCAGCTGCTTGTAAGATTCCATCTTGCCTTATTTCTCAGGAGAAATAATGAATAAAGGTTTTTTAAAATAACTTATTTAAAATTTAAGTTTAAATTGACAACCTATGTTAAGATCTAAACTTATGATCTATTAAAATAATTACAAAAATAGTATTAAAGTAGTACATGTTTGCTGTTGAAGTTTTAAAGAAAGTCAACCCACTGAACTGGGGAAAAGCACTGGTTAAGCACCAGGAACCAGAGTTTGTTGAAGTGCTAAACCAGATTTTGACAGCAGGAGACTCTCTACAGAGAATATTTTCTTCATTTCACTTTATTCCCCTGGTTCAGTTCAATGACTAGTTCATTTAAAGTTAAGAAATCAATTGGGAGCTGAAGAAGCAAGAAAACTTGTTTTCTTCTTCCAATCAATGAATAAAAGTTAAGTGTGATTATGAGATCTGCTAGTTCTAAAAATAAGGACACAGTGACCAGAAATAATCAGTTCAATTCAACAACTATAGATAATATTTCCTATGTTTAATAAATCAGTTTTAACTGCAAAACATGTTTTGATAAACTTTCTTCCTTAGGTATCCGGCACATTCAAGATAGTTTTATTTAATCAAAAATTAAATGCTGTTTGTGCTTTTTTTTTTTTAAACTGAATTTTAATTTCCATCCAAATAGAGCCACAAGTAAAAAATTAATCTAGTAATTAAGTGTCATTCATCATTTTCTAACATAAAAAAGGTAAAAATAAATGCAAGTTAAGCTATATAACTGCTTATGTAAACATAGTGTGTCCACATAGTTAGCAAAAAGCAGGACCAAATTTAGTATAAATGCTATATTTAGGAGCAAATCAACATATTTCAATCTTTTTAGGAGAATAACCAAGAAGTATAAATACAATCCACTCTATAGGACACTGAAATCCAAACAAGTCCACAGTTGGAAATAAACAAACACTAAGTGTGCCATGAGATGAAAACTGAAGACTGACACACTGGAGCATCTGTGCTTTTCTGTAGTCATCTCCTCATGAAATCCATTTCAGTGAGTTCACAATGAATTCAGGAAGCTGACAGCAATAAAGAATATAGAAGCCTTCTACAAGTCACAAAACAGACCCTCTGCAATGGTTTGTTAGGCATTTATGAGACCGATGCTGTACCCCCTTCCATGTGCATGCTCTGCAGCACGGGATCCTGAACCAGCATCCTAAAGTGCTGTGTGTTCCTCAGTACTCTGACATATGCTAAAGCCCAGCTGATCATTTCAGCTTTTCATAGAATAGAATATCAGGGCTGGAAGGGACCTTAGGAGGTCATCTAGTCCAACCCCCTGCTCAAAGCAGGACCAATCCCCAGACAGATTTTTACCCCAGGTCCCTAAATGGCCCCCTCAAGGATTGAACTCACGGCTCTGGGTTTAGCAGGCCAATGCTCAAACCACTGAGCTATCCTTCCTCCCTTTGCTGAGTTCCAATCATCTCCAATACCTTTTTGTTGGTTGCATGGTCTAGCCATGAGATTTTCAGAATTCTTCTGACCCACAATTTGAAGGATTGTAGTTTATCATAGATTGTTTGAATGTCCATATTTCACAGCTGTCATTTAACACAGACCAAATGTAAGCTTTTAAGAGTCGGAATTTAGTCTTCAGATTTATGTCCCTTCTCACCAGATGTTTATTGCTCCACAATGTCTCTTCCGCTCTTGCTAGTCTGGTGCTGACATCCCATCTTCCATCTTCAGTAATGATCCTTCCAAAATAGCAATCATTTCTCACGTATCAGCGATACCCTCTCTGAAAAAGGGACTTTGGTAAGTTTGGATTGTTTATTTTGCAGAATCTCCCCTTTTCGCTTTGAAAATGCTGTGCGTTTTGTTCTCCGTTCTTCTCTTGCGTATCCCAATCAATACACCTCCAAACTTTGACATGCATTTTTGAGGGTGTTTGTCATGGGACTAAACAGGCCGAGATCTCTGTCTTTGAAACCCTGAACCGCATTTCACTAAGTAGTGCTAATTAGTGACAAGGTCACACTAACCCTTTTGACTCTCTGGGCCCACTTATTCCACTGAAATTAACACAGCAGAGCTCATGCCCGGCAGTTCTCCCTCTGCCAGGGCTCTGAGGTTCAACCTACCTCATCCAGTCCTTGCTAAGCCTTTGCCAGGGGAAGTCCCCGAACATGCTAGAGTTAAACTGAGCAGCTGGGCCACACCCTAGCAGGAAGGGTAAGAAAGCAACAGGCAACAAGGAACCCAGAATCTCATCTTCTTTTCAACACATGCCGCACATGGAGAGCTGGGAGAGAGCACAGGGGCTTGCTCAATAGACATGGGTGTTCATTTCTTCTGCCACGCTTCTAAAGCAATAAGGGCATTAACATTGCTATGACTAAAGCTCAACTGACTGGCGCTGCTGAGCTGCTTCAGACTTTGCTCCGAAGACATCTCCAACCCCCAGGGGAGCTGGTGGCCCCGAGCATGGCAGGGCTCCTTCCTGCTTGAGGAAGGAGCAGACACCTCACCCACGGTGAGCCTTCGGCCCTGCAGCTTCTAGAACATCTCAGGAGGGAAAAAACTGCCTTCCCTTTTGGCGAGAGACAGAGGTGTCTCTTTTAAACCCGTTGTGCCAGAGTAACCCCGTGAAGACGCTGGCAGAAGCACTCCAGGGGGAGCAGAAGGCAGCAGGCTCCTGGGAGAAGAGCGGGAAATCCCCTTCTTCTGGGACATTTCACACTAAACTGGACCACTCGCTGGCAAGCAGCAGTCTCTGGCTCTGGGTCCTGTGCTCATTCCAGCAGGACAGGCTGCCTCCCACAGTCCCTCCCCCCTGCTCACCAGACCCATTGGACAGCTAAACCATTCTCCTGACTGACAGGCCATCCTGACACTGACACACACACACTCTCTCTCTCTCAGTTCAGACTCCACACTGGGTTCATACTTGCCCTTATCCGTGAGCCTCTCCAGTGAAAATGCTTGGGAGAGAGAGTCCCTGGGCTTGTTCCAGTGACGCAAGCAGAATCCCTGGGATTATTCCAGCAGCATCCTAGGGTAGGTGGCTGGGGTTAGAAGACACAGGGAGTGGAAGCTGGAGGCAGCAGATCCCCGAAGGTGGGTGGGAGGAAATGAAGCGGCAGCAGCTCCAGGGCTGGCAGGCTAGGAAAGGTGCCTGGAGTTGCTAAGAGATGAGCTTTTGCTTCCTTTTTTCCCCAAAGCGCTCGGGGGTGGAGTGACCGCATACTCCTGGGAGCTGCTGCCGTGTCTCGTATTTCCAAGTGCTGAGGAAAGCAGCCTGAGAAGTGCAGCGGGAGAGCTCGAGTGGGAAGCAAGAGAGCTGGAGCAATAGGTGGTGTAGAAAGGAAACGGGGGAATTTAGACTAGCCCAACCCCCACCACCTCTAACCCAGGGCTCACTCGGCCCAGGGAAGAGGTCAGTCCCAGCAGACTGGCCTGCTGCGGGGAGGGCATTGGCAGCAGAGCGGGTACACAGTGCAGCGAGGGCCCCTTTGCCGCAGGGCTCGAAATAGAAATGTCCTGGCTGGAATCTTGCTGTTCTCCCCCTATAGCCCAACCCCAGTGGGAAAGCGCCAGAGCAGCAGCTGCATGTGGGGCCGAAGGAAAGAGATGAAAGAGCCACCCCGAGGCTTCCCGGAGCAGAGGCACATGGGGAGCCAGGAGCGATCTGAATATTAGAGCCTCCAGCGCAGAGCATGTGGGCGGCCCCAGTCTTGGCTGAGAGCGGCCTTCTGCACTGGCCCTGGCCACTGGGGAGCAGGTAAAAGGGAGCCATTAAAGATCATTGTTACACCACAGGGGACTTTCACACAGTACCTAAGAGTCCCCTCCTTTTGCAGTTTAATGGAGTCACAGCAGTAGGTGCAAACCAGGCATGTCTGTCTAAGGCAAGTTAGCGAGCTGGTTCATGACCCTTTGGGTTTGGCAGCTGGCCGATGTTCTCCTTGGAGTTTTGTGCCCTGGGCCCCACTCTGTTCTTTTACCATTTGTCTCATAAGATGCTGTTATCAGGTTTGCTTCTTGGCTGGTTAATTCTTAGACAGGCTCTGGCGTGATACTGCAGAAAGGCTCCCTAGAGTTGTGCTAGCATCTGCTCCCGGCAACAGGCCCCTCATAGGCCGAGGAAATGGCACATGCAGTTCTTACCACTGCTGCTGGAACAAGAACCCAGCTTTGATGGCGTTCCAGTGCTGACAGCTCAAGAGTGTTAGCAGACTGCTCAGGAAAATGAGAGATGCCACGAAGCACCTAAACCCCTGAACCCGAGCCTT